AGATTCAAATGAAAACTACGTAAAACTCTTTACGCAACATACCAGCCTGAGAGATTCAAATGAAAACTACGTAAAACTCTTTACGCAACATACCAGCCTGAGAGATTCAAATGAAAACTACGTAAAATTCTTTCCGCAACATACCAGCCTGAGAGATTCAAATGAAAACTACGTAAAACTCTTTACGCAACATACCAGCCTGAGAGATTCAAATGAAAACTACTTAAAACTCTTTACGCAACATACCAGACTGAGATTCAAATGAAAACTACGCAAACCTCTTTCCGCAATATACAAGCCTGATGTTCAATTGAAAATTAACGTAAAACTCTCGTTTACGCAACATACCAGATTGAGATTCCAATGAARCTTACGTAAAACTCTTTATGCAACATACCAGCTTGAGATTTAACTAAAAACTACGTAAAACTCTTTCCGTAATATACCAGCCTGAGATTGGAATGAAAATTACGTAAAACGCTATCCACAATATTCCTGCCCGAGATTGAAATGAAAACTACGTAAAACACTTTATCATATGACCCGTATTTCGGCCCTACGCGCGCTCTCACTGAAACCTTTGGAAAATGGTCACGTGATGGGGTCCGTACGCCTTTTCGCGACAGGTCCGTACAAACCCGTATTTTCCCGGCTTAAAGTTCCGCGCGCTTTTATTTATTTTTTTACATTAAGGTTAGGTCGGGCCGTACGGGAAAATATTTGGCTCTCGGTCATTTGTACGGCATAACCTCGAGCCAAATATTTTCCCGTACGGCCCTCCCACTCAGTCAATAAGTACATATTACGCAACATACCAGCCTTAGATTCGTATGAAAACTACGCAAAACTCTTCCGTATATACCAGCCTGAGAATCAATCGAAATTTTTACAAAAGTATTTCCGCAATATGCCAGCCTGAGATTCAAATGAAAACTACGTAAAATTCTTTCCGCAATATTCCCGCCCGAGATTGAAATAAAAACTACATAAAACTCTTTACGCAACATTCCAGCCTGAGATTCTAAAGAAAACTTTCATAATTTTTTTCCGCAATATACAAGCCTGAGATTCGTATGAAAACTTCGTAAAACTCTTTCAGCAATATATCAGCCTAAGATTCAAATGAAAACTACGTAAAACTCTTTACGCAACACACCAGCAACATGTCATACTTTTTAGCCTACCTAAATCTCTTTGCGTAATATACCAGCCTGGGACTCAAATGAAAACCTACGTCAAAATCTTTCCGCAATATTCACGCCCGAAATTGAAATGAAAACTACGTAAAACACTTTCCGTGTTATGCCAGGCTGAGATGTAAAACACATTCCACAACATACCAGCCTAAGATTCAAATGAAAACTACGTAAAACCCTTTCCGCAATATACCAGCCTAAGATTAAAATGAAAACTAACGTGAAACTCTCGTTTACGCAACATAACAGACTGAGATATTCCATTGAAACTTACGTAAAACTCTTTCCGCAATATATCCGCAATATATATATATATAAAACCCTGAGATTCGTATCAAAACTACGTAAAACACTTTACGCAACATACCAGCCTGAGATTCTAAAGAAAACTTTCATAATTTTTTCCCGCAATATACAAGCCTGAGATTCGTATGAAAACTTTGTAAAACTCTTTCAGCAATATACCTGCCTAAGATTCAAATGAAAACTACGTAAAACTCTTTACGCAACATACCAGACTGAGATTCAAATGAAAACTACGTAAAACTCTTTACGCAACATACCAGCCTGAGATTCAAATGAAAACTTCGTAAAACTCTTTCCGCAATATAAAACCCTGAGATTCGTATCAAAACTACGTAAAACTCTTTACGCAACATACCGGTCTGAGATTAAAATGAAAACTTCGTAAAAATCTTCCGTAATATACCAGCCTAAGATTCAATCGAAAACTTCGCAAAACTATTTCCGCAATATTCCCGCCCGAGGTTACGCAACATACCAGCCTGAGATTCGACTAAAAAACTTTTTAGTCTACCTAATACGCTTTGCGTAATATACCAGCCTGAGATTCAAATGAAAACCTACGTCAAACTCTTTCCGCAATATACCCTGAGATTAAAATGAAAACTAACGTGAAACTCTTGTTTACGCAACATAACAGACTGAGATATTCCAGTGAAACAGCAGAATAGGAGAGCAGCAGATGGAAAATATTTCGACCATTTCTGAATTCAAATACAACTAGCCGCGGGATTGTTCAAGAATCCACATCGTCATCGTAAGGCTTGTTCAACAGCCATTGCACCATTGCTATCGTGCAAGTTCTTCTACTTCGTCTATTCAAGAAAATCAACTACAAACTATCTTTTATGGAAACACTATCAAAGGAGCAGCCTTTCATATCAATATGCCATCATCCTCTTCATCATCTAACAGCCCTTCTATAGTGGCGACGAATTATCGAGTCGGATAGCGGCAGCAGCCAGTCAAGCCAAAAAAAATATAAGATAAGATTCACTTGTTTACTGCCAATTTTGAGCTGTTTTTTAGTCATTTATTGACATTCTCCAATATATATTTACGCCACCATAATCAACCATGTTTTTTTGGTCTCGAAATTTAATTTTCGCAGTCGACATTAAAGCGAGTTTATTTAAACTTTTTCTGCTGTTTTGTGCTCATAAYAATTTATATAATAAACAGAATATTACATGTGTGCTTGGAAATACGAATTTTATCGTCGAGTATTCAATTGATGTAATAATAATAAACTTTGKTTAAGGTGTTTYGATCGTAATAAATAGCGTTTCACGCGTATTTTTAAACTAAAACTACGTCTCAAATTTCGATTCCATTGCACTCAAACTTTCACAGAAGTMACAGWGATTATCGATMATTCYTRTHRATAAATTAATTTGCCAAAAAGCGAAGCCATTTGGATAAACGATGCAAAATAAAAACACCTTCATTTTTCTTCAAAATTAATTTTCTCGAAACTCATCGCAGAGATTGTAATAAAATTTTCAGAATCATTTCTTAATAACATAATTGATATACTGACGAAGTTTCAATAAAATCTTAACCTAAAATTTCGAGTTAATTGAGCAAAATGATGTACATTCGAACAACTCGAAATTTTAGGTTAAGATTTTATTGAAACTTCGTCAATGTTATGTTATTAAGAAATATGATTCTGAAAAATTTATTACAATCTCTGCGATGAGTTTCGAGAAAATTAAMWTTGAAGAAAAATGAAGGTGTTTTTATTKTGYATCGTTTATCCAARTGGCTTCGCTTTTTGGCAAATTAATTTATCWACAAGAATTATCKATAATCACTSTKACTTCTGTGACAATTTGAGTGCAATGGAATTAAAATTTGCWACGTAGTTGGAGTTTAAAAATACGCGCGAAACGCTATTTATTACGATMGAAACACCTTAACGATGAAAACCAATTTTACCWGTACCACTAATTTCAGATTTGGGGCATCAAAAATAAATAAAAAATAGGTAAATGATAAAAAAGAAATGTATAAAATTGTAAGATTTAAAAAATATGATCTATATAAATTGTAATGTTTAAAACGAGTATACAAATATATCGTAGGAATAATAATTGATTGAAGAATTRTTTTTAGAGTTAGTTCTGAAAGAATTAATACTGGGGCGGGGCTGTTTCTAAGTTCAGTAAGTAATTTCTTGAAAATTTTCTTGCCATWGTATAGCACAGTGCATTTCTATAATGTTCAGTTTAGCATTCAYTGGRTATCAATTGAACACGAGAAGATAAAATTCGTATTTCCGCGCACCCATATAAYATCCTCTAGATTTCCTCTTCTTCAAACAATATAATAATCAAAAACAAMAACAAAAAAGMATTSACAAAAACAACAATACATAAACACTAGCAAACGGTTAACACTAATAAAAACCAAACTAAAACAAAACAATTGCAGAGAAGATTAATAAATCGGATAGAATTAAATACAAAAAAACTATATGAATATTGACTGACCTGGGTTCTTGAAGTACACAGCCTTGTCGTCTTGTACTTTATGATCTGGTGAGTTCTCGATTGTTCTGTTGTTCAACTCACAGATCGATTTTCGGACGTAGAAATTGATGCTCTGACAGCCTGGTGTAACAGCGCATTTGTCGGAGCAATCTCTTATGAATTGAATACTGAAAGTCGACATGACATGGCCTGTAAGAGCTACTCCGTCAACTGAAAAAAAACATTTCTTGTTGGCTTCAACGGTTCGCAAAGTGAACTGCATAAGCAGGACTGCAAATCCCGCGATGAGAGAAACACATCGTCTCATGTTTGTAAAGATTGTTGGCCCTGGGTTGTTTGACGATGGGCTGGTTATGAGATCTGTGAATTGCCTGACGTTAAATGAAAATATATATGATAGCTGTTACCACGAAATTTTACAAATATGGCATATGGTATCAGTTAACCGTCTTTGATATAAAATAGAATTGTCAGMGCAATCTATTAAGTTGTCATATTTTWCTGACAATGAGCCAAGTGTGCATTTAAACAAAATGGCGAAAGATAAAAAGCTCACGTTTTTGAAAGAATAAAATCGATTATTTGAACATAGTATGCTGTCGAATATGAATTTGAATAAGAAGGAAAAGTCAATATGATAACAAGAGACAAGCGACAGACAAATCAGAGGAGGAACGTCACTTCGGCACTTTTTGAGATTTGTTTACCTAATCATTTAGCAGGACGACGAGAAAATCAGTATTTCAAAATATTTATAAGGATGAAAATTTCAATATCATAAAAGAAATAACTCAATTTGTACATCTGATTTTGGGGTGGAAAGAGTGTAGTGAAGAAACTGGAAATAGGGAACAAGGAAGTTCTTTGCTGGGTGCTTAGAAATTCCATATATTTTTGTCAAACTATTTGTTTACTTAACATGCGAACAGGAAGAGAGAAAATAGTTCCATCAACTAAATTCAGAAAAGAAGAAATAAAATCCATGAAGATATGCAGTACATTAATTTGAGAGGATTGAAAGGATAAAAGACTTATGGCAAATATAATATACATACGATATAAATCTAAAAAAAGGATAGAAACAAAAATTAAGGAAACTCGTTGCTAAGTGCGAACGATTCCATGTTTTGTTTTTCGGCAAAAAACTGTTGACCTAACATCTACACAGGAAGATGGGAAAGCACTCAGAGCAATTATCAGTWA